TGTGAGTGCAGGGTCCAAAGGCCCTGAGTGATCCTCTGCTACTTTCTCAGGCCATAAACAGGGAGCTAGACAGGAAGTAGAGCTACCAGGACTTGAACTGCTGCCCATATGGAATACCAGCAGCACACCAACCCCATCCACATAAGACATCCCAGCTTCTGGCACTCAGGAGCACCTGGACAGCACGCCAGCTCCCGTGAACTCGTGGGCAGAAAGCACACAGGTGTGCAGGGCTAAGCACTTTGTCAATAGCTCAAGGGATGAAGGAATGAAAGTTGAGAGGAGAAAGGCAGGGCCCAGCGTTGGCTGACGTCAGCTGGAGTGTGCCTATGTGTCAGCTGGAGTGTGCCTATGTGTGACTCCCACACTTTGCCGTCCTGCACATCTTTGTAAGTGACCCTTACGGGAAAGAACCACAGAGCACCTCAGATATTGATGTAGGTGAGTAGGGGTGGTGACAAATGGATTTCAGCAAGCTCACGAATATGCAAATACAGACTCCTAGAACACTTAGGAGAGTTGGCTGTGGGTCCTGCTGTGATTGAATCCCAGCCCTTTCAGGTGGAAGAGGCTGGATGTGTGCTCTAGACCAAAGCATTGCACTTGAGCACACATTCATCTCAGACAGCATTGTCTGTAGCTTTTACGTTTATTTACTTATTTATTTTTATTGCAAAGGCACATTTACAGAGAGGAGAGACAGACAGAAAGATCTTTCATTTGCTGGTTCACTCCCCAAATGGACACATCAGCTAGAGCTAAGCCAATCTGAAGCCAGGAGCCTCTTCTGGGTCTCCCACACAGGTGCAGGGCCCCAAGGCTTTGAGGCATTCTCTACTGCTTTCCCAGGCCACAAGCAGGAGCTGGATGGGAAGTGGAGCAGGAGGACATGAATCGGCACCCATAGGGATTCTGGCGCTTGAAAGTAGAGGATTAGACAATTGAGCTATCTGTCCCTCTGGCCCCTGATGTTAGGTTTTTTAAAAAGTTTTAGTTTGCAACTTCAATGATGAGCTGTGAATTTGATCATCACAAATCATTTCCTCTATCTAAGGCAAGTTTACAAGGTGAACTAGTGGTCAGCAGGAATGTCTACCAGGTCATGAGCAGATCCGTCTACTTGAGACCCTAAAGACCGCCGTGCTGAGGGCATGACAGCGTCACTGTGGGAAGCGCTGACGAGCCAGCTACGCCCCCAGCACGCCGAGCAGCTTCCTGCTAGCATCATCACTGTGTCCTCAAGGACGTGGAGGGTGGACAGGTGGTTCCTAGAGGCTGGAAAGGCAGGGTGAGGGACATGGAGAAAGGTCTGCAAAATACGACTGTGTCGGTCAACTCAGTGTCTGTGTTAGAGCTCGGCAGGGTGACCATGGTTACCATTAATGTCTTGCACATTTCCAAATGATCAGGCTAGAGGACATGTAAAACAGGGCTCTGCTGGCTGGTTGAAGCAAATGTGATCAGAAGCCCAAAGGAACAAGAAGTTTTGAATCACAGATATGCTAATTATCCCAGTGTGGCCTTCATGCATTGTTTACTTGTGTCAAAATAGCACCCTGCACCCTACAAATATGTATAATTAATATAGCAATTTTAAAAGACACTTTAAAAAATTATTCAAAGATAGAGAAAGAACCATTTGCCATCGCTGGCTCATTCCCCAAATGCCCACGATAGCCTAGGCTGGACCAGGTCTCCAAACCTGGCTGGCAGGAGCCCAGCTACTTGCGCCCTCACTGCTGTCTGCCAGGGTGCCCGTTAGCAGGAAGCTGGAACGAGAGGCCGAGCCAGGCTCAAGCCTCTGCACTTTGTGACAGAATACAGATGCCCTGAGCAGCATTGACACCCCCGCACCGACTCCTGCCTCCTGCCTGGAGTTGCTGTTGAAAGCTGATCTCAGCCCAGCTCTCAGCCCTGCTCTCGGGGAGTATTTCAAATTGAAAACCTCTGCCGCCACTGCTCTTTTTCTTAAGGAAATGGAAAAGCCCCCTGACCTGGGGTGGGAGCGGTGGTTTGCTTCAACAGCTGGCACAAAAATCACGTGTGGGGAGAGCCAGGGGTGCCTGAGGAGGGGACACCTCGGCGCCTTGCAGTAGCCCTCCAACCATCCACCCACTCCAACAGCTCCACAAGAACAGGCGAAAATGGGGCGCCCCGGTGCCCTGAGCCAAGCTGTTCACACAGAAAGTAACCCTTACTGTTAGCACTGCTTCACGCGCAGCCGCTTTGGCTCCTGGACCCCCACTAGGTGGAAGGTCTTGGCTTTGAAAACCCAAGCCAAAGACTCCTGGACTCCCAGAGGCACTGAGCACCGCCCACCCCAGCCAGTCATCCTGTAGGCAGCAAGGAAGTATCTCTTGGTAAGCTGAGCCAGCCCCACCCGGAGCCATGGCAGAGTCAGCAGGGGACTTTGAGGTTTTTTCCCCATGCATGGCACTCTGGGATGGGTGCAGGGAGAGTGGGGAATGGTGTGGCTGGGTGTTGTCTTTTCCAGGTTTCTTCCTTGCAACTTCAGGGCTGTTGCTCCCCACCCCCCATGCCAGTTAGCACATCCTAGTGGGTGGAGATGCTCTTTGAACTTTGTTCCGTTCTTGCTCTCTGTTGGCCTCGGCTTGCTTGTTGAGTCCCAGAAGTGTAAACATGGAGGGTCATTCCTGAGTCTGGGATCTTGACGGGCAGCCCCAGAGGAACATTGCTGAGTTCACTCTACCCTCATGCCTTGAGACCCCCATCCCACCCTCTACCCCCATAGCCACTTGACAATTTTCATGCCAATGTCACTGAGTGCTTTAACCCAAGTCGTATGTGGGCCCTGCAGGGCCTGACGCGCTCCAGAGCTCTCCATTGTGTCGCATGTCTTACGGCCACGGCGGGGAACTGCCTGTTGTGGCCTGGTAAACAGACACCGGAGAACTTAGGAGGAGGCAGTGAAAGAAGGCAGCGTCTCTAAGTCAGTTTACAGTGTGTGCAAAGCATGTTTGCAAATGTTTACAGAGTCTCTGAGGGAATGACATCACTGCTTCTCCTTGTTTGGATAGCTTTTTATGACTCAGGCCCCTGAGAGCCTGGCTGTGTCATTGTAAGAGGCTCAGGGCACTTGCTGGCTCATAGTCTCCCAAGAGGCAAGTCAGGGCTTATGGGAAACATGCTCCCATAATAAACTGAGCACCAGCCGTTTGGTGTTGGAGGGAAGTGGGGAGTTACTGGTGTGCTGTGGATGGCGGTAAGGTCTACCTTGAAGAATGCCATCTTTCTTCAGCCAGTTGGGTTGGGGTTGTGAGCCAAGGTGGCCCAAAAGAGGCAGGGGAGAGCTGAACTTGGCTGTATAAGTAGCATTTGGGAGGCAGACCCTGTTTCTGTTGAGATGAGGAGTGGATCAGAGAGTTTGGGTAGAAATACCTTGTTGAGGACCTGGTACAATGGCTCAGTGGCTAAACCCTCACCTTACATGCACCAGGATCCAGTATAGGCGCTATTCATGTCCTGGCTGCTGCACTTCCCATTCACCTCCCTGCTTATGGCCTGGGAAAGCAACAGAGAATGGCCCAAAACCTTGGGACCCTGCACCAGCATGGGAAACCTGGAGGAGGCTCCTGGCTCCTGGCTTTGGGTTGACTTAACTCTGGCCATTGTGGCCCTTGAAGAGTGAACCAGCAGATGGAAGATCTTTTTCTCTGTATCTCCTTCTCTATAAATCTGCCTTTCCAATAAGAAATGAATTAATCTTGAAAAAGTGTGGGGAGCAGTGCCCTGGAGCTGACCCCACATGTATGATAGGCAGTCGCAAGGTGGCGGTTGGCCCAGGGCCAGGAGGCGGGGTTGGTCCCACCAGTAGGCAAACAGGAAGTCATGGGGATAGGCTGATGCCCTCGCTGCAATTATGTCATTGCTACTGGCCTATCAGGTAGCGCCAAGTGGACCCAAGGGGAGAAGTGATTGGTGGAGAACTGTATATAAGCAGCCCGCTTTCAGCAATAAAGGTTGGTTGGTTCGTCGGTTCATTTGTGTGTTCATTTGTTGTGTGTTCCGGTTGCGGTGGTGGTTCCTGTTTTTCCAGACCCTCGAGAGTGTTCCTCGTCATTTTAGTGTCATTGCTGGACGGGGACAAAAAAGGAAGGAAGGAGACCTTGTTGTGTGATGGGGACTCAATTCCTTCTGCGGGGGTAAAGCTGCCTGGATTTGGACTGAGAACCATCCTCATGGGATGGATCTCCAACCCATGGCAGAAGAGGGACTGTACGGTTGAGGGGTCAGGTGGGGTTCCTCTGTGACAGTCTGGACCAGGGTGTTTAGCACAAGAGTAGACTGCAGCCCCACATTCCTTGTGTGGCAGTCCCCGAGGGCGTCCTTGTAAGGCACAGTGTGAAGGTGCCAGAACAAGCTGCCAACCCTAGCATGTCTCTCCTTACGTTGGATGCAGGCTGTCTGCTCTCACTCCACATTGTGCTACCCTTTTTCTTAATAAATTATTTTTTTAAGATTTATTTTTATTTGAAAGGGAGAGTTACTGAGAGAAGGAGAGACATAGAGAGAATCTTCTATCTGCTAGTTCACTCCCCAAATGGTCACGACAACCAGAGCTGGGACTTTCCTAAGCCTAGAACCCAAGAGCTTCCTCCCAGTCTCCCATGGGAGTGCAGGAGCCCAAGGACTTGTGCCATCCTCTGCCGCTTTCCCAGGCCATAATCAGGGAACTAGATCAGAAGTGGAGCATCCAGGACAGGAACCAGTGCCCATATGGGATGCTGTTGTAGGCAGAGGATTAGTATGCTACACCAAGGTGTCCATTTTGAAGATCAGTCTTTGGAAGGAAGTGGTGTGTTAATAAATGCTTGCAGGTTCCAGCCTGACAGGAAGAGAGCCAGTGAGTGCTGCCTGTGGACCCTGAAGCCCAAACAGGAGCTTACTCTGTAGTGCATTCCGGAGAGCAGGAAGCGCCTTCCAGCTGGGTGAAGTAGTTCCGGGTAGGCACCCTGTCCTCACTGCCCCTCCCTTCCCAGGAGCATCCCGGTGGTGCAGGTGCTACGCAGCACTGCCCTGACCAGCGCCTGTGCCGACCACTCGGATCAGCGTGTGGTCTACCTGGAACATGTGGTAGCCCGCATCTCCATCTCACACCCGCGGCGAGGAGACCTCCAGATCCACCTCACCTCTCCCTCGGGAACCAAGTCTCAGCTCCTGGCTAAGAGGTAAGACCTGAGAGGGCTGGGCTCTTGGTAGACTCAGCAGGTGCACTAGGGCCACCCAGACCAAGCCCGCACCTCCAGCATCCTGGGAAGGCACTCTGCATGTCTGCCAGCAGCCTCCCTCCTGTGCTGCGGGAGAATTGTCATGCCCCTTGTTTTCTTGTGTCATGGAGGGGCTTCTGGATGGATGGTGGGGAATCAGCATCTGTCTTCTGCAGCAGGCACATGGGTGACCATGAGGGTCACAGCTGGAGTACCGTCTATCTCCTGAAGCTATTCCCACATAGTCATGGCTCTGCAACAGCTGGACCGTGTCTCTTGGAAAATTCAGGCTTGGACAGGGCGTGGAGGTGCTAGCAGGGCCTTCCAGGATGCTCTATGAAGCCTTCACCCTAAGACACCATCTACAAGTTGGTGGAAATTCTAGCAGGTGCTTTGATGCAACTGCATGCCTGGAGGGCATTTGTGGAAGGTCGGTTGGAGAAGAACTGGGTGCCCTTTTGTCTCTTACAAAGACGCAGAGGGAGAAGAAAGGTCTCCCAGACAGAGCCTGGCCACCCCCAGGTCCTGTTGACATGTAGCCACCCAATCCAAGTCCCTCGCATCCCTCCTCCTCACCCTCCCTCCCTCTGCCTTTGGACCCTTTGCAGCTGCTCCTTACTTGAGGCCCTGGGAATGGCAGGGAGTGTGGCCTACTGCCTGAGGGCCAGACCATGTGCTGCATCTGTGCCATCCAGCGCTTCCAAGGGCATGCTGCAGCCACCTACCAGTCATGTGAGCCTTGGGAATGCATTTTCTTCTAAGTTAAATTTCTGCAATTTTATGCAGAATTTTGATGGGCACCTGTTGTTTTCTAGTTCACATCTTGCTGGATTCAGCCGCTCTTTTAGGGTGCCAGGCTTCTCCATGAGTAAAGTGGAGAACCTCAGCATTTCCAAGACAGTGGCAGCTCCCTGCTGCATTGGGGTATCATGGGATTATGCGACCCTCGGCCCTAGCCTTGGCAGTTTCCTAAGAGCAAGCACTCCCACTGCTGACCTTGCAGGGAATGCTCCTCTGTAAATGCTTTTACACACTGTGTGTCCAGAAACCCATCATACCGACTCACCTGTTGGGTTCCTGGTAAACAGTTAAGAGTCCCATTCTAACAACAGCTTATTACCAATTAAGAGGCAGGAAATGAGGCTGTGAAGAAAGAGGAAGTGAGAAGAACCTGGAGCTGTTGCCTCTAAGGCGAGAAAATAGAGAAGGTGCCAGACAGCTGCTTTCCAGCTTCTGCTGGAGCCAGATGTGCAGCCTGGATAGAGGCTGGAGGCCCAGGGGTTTGTGGGGACAGTCAGGGAGGCCTTCCAGCCTGGAAGACCGAAGGAACATGCACCTGCAGGCCATTTCCATGGTGCTGAGAACACACATAGGGATGCTGACACAGAGGTTTGCTTTGACTCATTCTGGTCCAGACCATGCTGCTGCCTCTCATCCTTCTGCTCCTGCATCAGCTGAAGACAGGCAAAAGAGCAGGTGCAGGAGAGACGACAGGGACGGGTGAGCTGCAGAAACAGGGATTCGCCCTGTCCTGGGAGAGCAAGGACTCCCCTGAGAGATGCCAGTGGCCGTTCATGTCTCTCCCTACCACCCAGTGCCATGGCATCGGTTCCAGGTGACAGCAGCATGACTTTGGGTGGCAGTAGTTGTATTCAGTCCGGGAAGCTCACCAGCACCTGCAAGCAGGTCCTCCCTTCTCCTCTGTCATGCCTCCCCCAGAGATGCCTCCTCGCCACACTGGAGCACAACCAGACCTACCAAAGCCATTGTTGAAACCTCTGGAGACTAAAGAATCACCCTGTCCCCCACAAGTCTGCGTAGCTTTTGGAGAGCGGTACCCAGAGCTGGCCCTAAAGCATTTGTTCCACAGCCCCCCACCCCACCTGCTGTAGAAAAGTCTCCCACTGTGAATGCCTAGAAGGAAGATTCGGCCCAGACACTTGCTCAGAGGCATGGTGGGATGCAGGAGCTTTGGGCAGTAAGAATGTCCCCGGTCCAGTCCCAGCTTAGCTGGTCATGGAATCTTGGACCTGCAGCCACCTAGTGCTTGTAAACTCTGTCAGGGTGGGAGGGAAGAGACCCCAGCACACCGTGTCCCTGCCTTCCACTGGGCTGTGTGAGCCTGGTGAGATACTGGAGGAGGAAGTGCCATGAGAATTGAGCAATTCCTTAGGTTACCTGCACCCCAACTTCCCACTGTTGCTCTGCTGCCCCCCTGCCCTGGGGTGTACCTGGGCTGAGCCACACAGGCATGTTAGCAATGCAGAAGAACGCCCTCCTTAGGCTGCTTCCTAGTGTCACAACATTCTCCTAACACTGCATCTCCTCTGCAGGCTGCTGGACCATTCCAACGAAGGCTTCACCAACTGGGAGTTCATGACTGTGCACTGCTGGGGAGAAAAGGCTGATGGAGAGTGGACCTTGGAGATCCAAGACATGCCATCCCAGGTCCGCAACCCGGAGAAGCAAGGTCAGTGACCCGAGGATTTCTTACAGACTTGGAGACTCCAGCCCCTTTCACCCCCCGCCCCTGTATTTGCAACAGCTCTGGTAAGTCTGTGCTTTGTTTTATGGAGGCAAAAATCCATATAAAATCCACCATTTGCGTGGTTTTAAATCATGTGGTTTTGTGGCTTTGGTGGATTCCCAGTCAGTGGCTTGTTGAGCAGCCACAGCACCATCTGAGTCCTAAATAAAGTGAGACATTAAAACGATCACACCCCATTCCCACCTCACCTCCCAGCCCCTGCAAACCCGTAATCTACTTCCTGTCTCTCTGAGTGTGTCTATTTGGGAATTGCACATAAACAGGATCAAACCACACGTGGCCCTCTGTGCACGGAGTTTTCAAGGGTCAGTGTGGAGTGGGCATCATTTCCATGTGACTGAGCTGGTCTCTCATTGCCTGGGTGGACAGCACACATTTGCTATTGATGGAGATCAGGCTCAGTTCTGCCCTCTATGTTGTGACTGCTCCTCAATCAACGTACACATTTCAGGTAGACACCTGTTTGCATCTCCGTTAGTGCCAAGGCGTGGAGCGGTGGAGTCCTCTGGTACCTTTACTTACAGAGGAACAGCCAGATGGTTTTCCATGGTGACTGTCCTGTAGCAACAGATGAGTGAGTGGTTCTGTCCCCCATGACCTCACTAATATGTGCTATTACTGTTTTTTTTTAAAGATTTATTTTTATTGCAAAGTCTGATATACATAGAGGAGAAGAGACAGAGGGGAAGATCTTCCATCTGTTAATTCACTCCCCAAGTGACTGCAATGGCCAGTGCTACGCCAACCTGAAGCCAGGAGCTCTTTCAACTCTCCCACACAGGTGCAGGGTCCCTGGGCTGTCTTCGACTGCCTTCCCAGGCCACAAGCAGGGAGCTGGATGGGAAGTGGAGCACCAGGATTACACTGGGCGCCCATATGGGATCCTGGTGCATACAAGGCAAGGACTTTAGCCACTAGGCCATCACGCTGGGCCCGCTATTACTATTTCTATTATAATCCTGTGAGTGGGTTTGAAGTGGTTTTTGTGGTTTGATTGACATTTCCCTGGTGACTAGTGAGGCTCAGCATCTTTCCACGTGCTTGTTGCTTATTTCTGCAGTATCTTTGGGGGTATCTATGCAATCCATTGCTCATTTCTAGAATTGCGTTGCTTTCTGTCGTTGATTTGGAGGTATGTGATCCCTGTGGATTTTTCTTTTCACTTTCCTGATGTTGTCCTTTGATGCACAGAAATGGATACTTTGGGTTTATTTAGTTTTTCTGTTGTGCCTTGCACTTTGAACGTCAAATAGAGGAAACCACTGCTGGTCCAAGATCATGAAGACTTACTCTGAGGCTTCCTTCTAAGAATGTAGTAGTTTCAGCTCTTCCATTTAGGTGTTTGATCCATTTTTTATATATGGTATGAAGTAAGGATTCAAATTAATTTGCTCATATGCATGCGACTGTCAGTTGTCCCAACACCATCTTGAAAAATGCTGCCCTTTCGCTATTGGATGATCTTGGTACCCTCTACAGAATTAATACACATAAATGAAGAAGTTTTGCCGCACTCCCAATTCTGTTGCATCTTCTGTCTCTTTTGCTGGTACCACAGTCCATTGAATGTTGTAGCTTTCTTTATAGTAAATTTTGAAATCAGACAGTTGAGTCCACCAACTTGATCTTTTGCTTACAATTTTGTAAATTTATCTGCAAGGCAGAGTTACAAAGAGAAAGAGGGTGAGATAGAAAGGTCTTCCCCGCTCTGGTTCACTCCTGAAATGGCTGCAATGGCCGGGGCCAGGCCAGGCTGAAGCCAGGAGCCCAGAGCTTCCTCCATGTCTCCCACATATTAGGGCGGTGGCCCATACAATTGAGTCATCCTCTGCTGCTTTCCAAGGCTCATTAGCAGGAAGCTGGATCAGAAGCGGAGAAGCCAGGACTAGAGCTGGTGTCCACATGGGATGCCAGTGCTGCAGGCACCAACTTAACTGACTAGGCTGCAGGGCCGGACTCCAGCCAACTTTAGTTTTTGGTCAGTGTTAATTTGAATATTCTGAGGCCCTTGCAAATCATATATATTTTAGGATAAACTTGTGCATTTCTTATTAAGGAAAAAACAGTTGAGCTTTTGGTATATTTGGAATGTGGCCATCTTACGAAATGAAGTCATCCAATGCCTAGACATGGAATTCCTTTCCATTTATTTTTAAATTTGGTTCAATATTTTTTTCATGGATTTTAGTATGCGAGTCTTTTAGTCCCTTAGTTCAGTTGTTCCTAAGTGTGTTCTTTCTGTTACTATAAATGGAATAATTTTCTTCATTTTGTTCTCGGATTACTCATCAGGTGATTTTTTCCACCCTTTCATAGCTTCGTTAAATCACGAGTCATTTACTTGGCCATCTTTCTTTCAGCCTGCCAGGGCCCAAGAGGTGACAAGAGTGCAGCCAGGGAAGGAAACATCACACCCTCTCCTGTGGTGTACCCTCCCAGGGTCTACCGGTTCTTCCCTCGCTCTTCCTGTGGCTTCGCAGGAAAGGACACAGACCATGCTTATGTCTCAGTGTCCTGTGTAGGAGCCTCCCCAGGGCTGGCTGTCACTGGGTCTTGGCCACCACAGGGCACTCACACCTGTCCCTCCCTCTACTGACCCCCAGTGCGCCCTCTGTCACAGCTTGGGCATGGCCTTCTAGAGGCCTTGTCCATGGACGAGTGACTGCTTGCCCTCCCATCCATGTGATTTCTACAAAATCACAGAACTTGGGCCCGGCGCAATGGCACAGTGGTTAAGGTCCTCGCCTTGCACGCCCCGCGATCCCTAATGGGCGCCGGTTCTAATCCCGGCAGCCCTGCTTCCCTTCCAGCTCCCTGCCTGTGGCCCGGGAAAGCAGTCGAGGATGGCCCAAAGCTTTGGGACCCTGCACCCGCATGGGAGACCCAGAAGAGGCTCCTGGCTTCGGACCGGCATAGCATTGGCTGTTGCGCTCACTTGGGGAGTGAATCATTGGACAGAAGATCTTCCTCTCTGTCTCTCTTCTCTGTATATCCGCCTTTCCAATAAAAAATTTAAAAAAATAATAAATCTTAAAAAAAATCACAGAACTTGCCAGGGTAGGGGGATACCCATTTTATATCAGAGAGGAATAAATAGATGATGTTGTGTCCTCCACATGACAGAGACGCAGGAACTCCATTATCCTTCTGTAATATCTCAAGTAAGCACACTTCAGGGTAAGATGCTAGCCTTCTGAATCATTAGGGGAAGAGTAGAGTAAAGAAAAAATTATCAGCATGCCCCCTCTCCCAGGAAGGGAAAGAAAAAAGGAAACACAGATTCATTTGAGTAAGGACACAAGATGTTAGGAGGTGGAATTTGTCAGTTTGTGTGAAGACAAATGTTCTGAGAATGTAGCCTTCATAAGTGGGTGTTCATCAGATGTTTCCTGGCACTGGGGATCCTCTGGTGGTTAAAACAGACACCAGGCTTGTATTCCACAGAGTGGAACAGGCTGCCTATGCAGGAGGTTGTAGCATGTGAGATGATAAGAAGCTCTAGAAGGAAGGATGAAGCAGAGAAGAATGACAAGAACATGTCAGGGTGCCCAGGAAAGGCCTTCTGGAAGACGTTTGAATGTGGATCTCCAGGCAGCACTGCAGAAAGGACACAGGGCTAGGCACATGCCGAGGCCCAGCCAGCAGCTTGGCATCACAGAAAGGCCCCAATGCTGCCCAAGAGGAAAGTGGCCTTTGTGGTGGGACGTAGGCCCCAGTCACACAGGGTTTTGTGGGCCATCACACACTTAGTGGAATTGGTTTTCAGCAAAGGAGAGAGTTTCTGAACTTCTGTGTTAATCAGCTCACTGCCAGCTTGGCTGGAGTTGTGAGGAGTGAGGTGGCAGAGGGCCAGGGCAGGGAACACGGTCTGGGGGTCATAGCTGTAATCAAAGCAGGTGACTCGGGGTAGATGCAGTGGAGGTGTGGGGAAGCAAGCGGCCAGGTTCTGGAAGCAGGGTTGAGAATAGCTGACACAGCAGATGTGTGAGAGTGGAGGGTTGGGTGGATGGGCCATGAGAGAAACATCTGTGTAACAGCTGTGATCACAGCCTTTGGAGCCTGTCACCAGAGGGTACTGAGCCAGCTTGGGGTTGCAGCGTGCACAGCCAGAATCTCCTTCTCCACACACCGGTACACCTGCCGCACCCCTTGCTGCCCAGCCAGGTGCTGCTGCATCAGCTCTCTGCCCCTTGACTGCACAGTGCTGGAAGCTCTGGTCTTTGACACTGCCCAGGTTGCCCCGAAGCCTTGTCTTTCCTCAATTGTGACCCAGGGCCTCCCGCTGCTGGGTCATGCAGGTGGAGGGTGGCGGGAGCTGAATATAATCAGCTCGTGGCTAGAGGCCCATGGATTCAGGGAGACTCCCAGATAAAGTCTCAGGATACCATGGGAGCAGAATAAACACCTCGGGGCACCTTCTAGCCATGACAGATGGGACTTTGGGGTGGGAACTCATGCTCATCTCAGAGTTTCCTGTTCCTGCCTTGACTTCTAAGGTGGTTTCACCCCATACAAGTTTCCCCTGAAGAGAGCTGCCACTCTGAGCAAGGGCAGGCCAGCATCCTCCTGCCACGAGGGCCCAACGAGCCCTTTCTCGTGGGTGTTGATGGGGACAGCTGCCTCCCCCTGGACCACAGCTCAGTGTCAGCATCAGTGTCTCCTCCCAAGCAGAGCAGAGTCAGCCTGGGTTCCATGGCAGCTCCATGCTCTCCCTCGGGACACTGCATCTGCAGCCGAATCTCCCCAGCATGCTGTGCTCTTGTTCAGCAGTCACCTCTAGGCCTGGTGCTTGGTGCAACACTCGGGCCCTCCCAGCACTGCAGCAAGTGGAATGAGGTGCTGGAGTGGAGGTGCTCACAGCATGCTGGGATCCCAGAGCTGCCCCTCTGCCACTCTGTTTCTGTACGTTAGAACATCAGACA